ACCAAGATGCAGCCGTTAACAAGCAGGCTAACGCAAAGCTAACATGTCTCAGGAGAGCTACTGTCTGCAGCTTGGTGGCATCTTAAACCTGAGCCACGTGTGGTGTGCATACTGGGCATTCAACATGCTGGGATAGACAGAGCTGCATGATTCGCTGCCTTCAGACTACTTTCGCTTTCCCCTTCGGGCGTCAACATAAAAAACCACCGGCCTCCATTAATTCCCAGTTTGCCAATAGGGCTGCAACGTTTCGTTGGCAAATATCGACAATAGAAATAGTCGACAATAAATTTCATTGTCGAGGTTGTCGCCAGATGTGTTTTTTTCCGACCGAGTGAGGCATCTCCCTTCATTACAATCTCTGCCGAGAGTCGCACATGCGCAATAGCTTCTCTGCTGAACGTCAACAGAAATGGAGGCGTCCGACACAGCAGCTACGTGTACCAAAACATCTAAAGTGTTGGAGCATTTTAGCCTGGATTCGGTGAATAAAAAGTCTACCTGCATTATTTGCAAAGCAGTCCTTGTGTATCACGGCAGCACCTCGAAGATGCACTAACACTTAAAGATAAAGCACGTCGGGCAGTTGAATGAAACAGTCTGACTCACCTCGGTAAGATTTAAATAACACGAAAACTAATACGTTTTGTTTTGGGTGTACGTTGTACACCTTTCAAACGTATTTTCGCTTTTAAAACAGATTTAATGTCATGCCCAACTGTGCCTGACTAAAGTATTTTAATTTTATTTATGCATTTATGTCTATACTTAGACAGGGCCTGTTAGTATGAATTGGCCTATCAGCAGCAAAGTTCAATAAAATATGCATTTTCCATTGAAGTACCATCTTTCTTGTGTTTATTATCATTTTGCACACAATTAAAGCAATCTCATGCTAAATTTAAGAAAATTTTAATAATTATCCGATAAGTCGACTAATCGTTTCAATAGCCAATGACTAGTCAACTATTAGTCGTTAGTTGCAGCCCCATTTGCCAATAACAATCCCAGTTCACAGCAAACTCCGACAAAAACGCAAAGCTAGCCATTAGAGAAAGTTACAATAAACAAAGAGAAATTGCCAACAAACTGCAACTAAAATCGTCAACTGCATCTTTTACCGGGAGGCGTGGGATAGGGCCCCTACACCTCGAGGACAAACATTACGTCTCTAAAGCTGATCTTCATCCGCGTACGTCACACATCAGTGATCAGGAAGCAGAAAATCCACTAACTAGGAGATCGTTTTGGGACGCTGCTGTGAAAAAAGCAAAGTGCTAACTGGAAAAGCTTCCACAGCTCACACTGCCAACGGATTATGAAAGAAGAGATAATGCTAGTAACGCGCCGATTCTCCCTGATGTAAGAAGCGAGTCTACCGTTTCTTTTGGTAGTTTTTGTGTTTACATGATCATAGAGCACAACGTTCTGTGACTCTTCAATAACCAGTAAAAACGCTGGCAGTCTGGGGCTTTATCAGGAAACGACTGGCAGTGAATGAGTTAATCATGGTACTCCCAAAACAAGTGAAACGTGAAACAATTTGGATGCGTTTTCTTATTTTAATGCTTTCCTGAAAAGTATTGAATCAGGACTATCGGCAGATACTCTAACGTGATTAAAACTTTTTCTAATGAAGAGAAGATGCTCAACAAGCTTCCTGAGGTTAATATAAATCTAGAACTTTGTTAGGGGTCCCACAAAGTTAACTGAAAACGCATACATGCAAATACTAACCTTCTTTGGTCAGGGGTTTCCTCACTACATACTGCCTCACATCATCCTCCTTTGCCAAGTTGAAAAGCTTGCGGATCTTGCTGGCCCTCTTAGGACCAAGACGGCGAGGGACAGTGCTGTCGGTCAGTCCAGGAATGTCCTTCTCACCTAAGATTGAGTAAACATAACAATTATGACTTTGTAAGAAATTAGTTTAAAACAATCTAAAAACAAACTTACTACAAAAAATAAAAAAAGACATCTATCTTTTAGTGAGCTCGAGGCTTTTAAACATTAATACTCGCTTAACCCACCATCTTTTACTCATTTAAAAACACCAACAAGGTTAATGTTTCGATACTGAGCTCAGAGACGAGTTCAAATTTAAAGTAAAGCATCTCATACATCGCTGATGTGTCCCAGTGCATCTGCAAGATGTATTTAAAAACCAACTTCTTTTCTAAAACAGCTAAATGAATTTAAACAGGGGTCTTTTGTTTTTCTTTTAGGTTCCAAGACAAATTTAGCAAATTAGATATAAAATTTGAAACTTTTTTTAAACAAACAAACACACACACACAAGGCAGCAGTAAATCATTGCGCTATAACATTGAGAGAGCATTGCAGTTCAACCATCCACTTCACAGGTCTGGTCGCATCTGGTGAGCAGCTCTACAGTTACTCTGGCAACACGCTGTCCCCCCTTAATGACTATGAATAAGCCAGAAAGGATCTCCATGGTGTGCCACCCACACAAATCCCACATTAAACATAAAAATGTCTAAAGAACACACAAACAGACAAGTAAACATATATTACAATGGTCAGGTTCCCTTTGTTGACATTTTTTGTCAACAAACTGTTTCCATCAGCACCACAAAGAACACATTACCTTTCTTGATGATGACCAGATTGAGAACGCTGAGATTGGCATCAACGATGCAGCCACGCACAGACTTCCTCTTGCGCTCACCGGTTCTTCGGGGACGGTAGCAAGAGTGACCCTTGCTGAGCAGCAGACGCACGCGGCCATGAGTAAGTACACCCTGCTTCATGGGGAAGCCCTGCTTGTCATTACCACCGCTGATACGCACCACATAGCCCTAAGAAACAAAACAAAGTTACAACTCTGTCTTCCATGCGTCACATTTACTTTTGAGAGTATTTAGTTAATTCCATATACTTAAGGCTATCTAAAAGCTACTTATTGCCACCAATTACTCCATTATAAAACGATGTCCACGTCGTTCCTAAGTTTTATAAGCTAAATTGAAGTGTACTGTAGGTTTTTATGACAAACGTACAATTTCTGCAACCATTAATTTCAATAATTCCCTTAGGTGTTCTCCTGCAATCACAGCTAACAGACTGAATCTTTAGGCATTTTAAGTACTTCACACAAGTCTACCTGAAGAAGACCATCGCCAAACACTGTAGATAATCATACAGCTAAATTTGCTGTAAATAAATGAGAGAGCATCGCTGTTTCAATCAGCCAAGGTTAGGTGGGCTGTCGTATCTGGCAGCAGCTTCACTGTTAATCTGGCAACACGCTGTCCCGCCTTAATGACTACAAATCAGTCAAGAAGGATCTCCTTGGTGTGCCTTTTATGTTTATGTATTGAGCAGATGCTTTTGTCCAAAGCGACTTACAAGTTATAATCGGCATGTTGCCCTTGAGGCTAACAACAACAACAAACAATTTCCAGTCAGTCGTAGGTGACAGTAAGACAGCAAGATGAATCGTGGAGAGGAGGGAACAAGGAGTGGACAGTAGAGAAGGGGACGGGTGCAGAGGGTGATAGTTTAGAAGATGCTCTCTGAAGAGCAGAGTCTTCAAGAGTTTCTTGAAAGTCAAAAAGGAAGCCCGTTCTTGTGGTGCTTGGTAGGTCATTACACATTTGTGGAACGATGCATGAGATGAGTCTGGATTGTCCTGAGCGTGGTGTAGGCACTGCTAGCCGACGATCCTGTGACGAACGGAGCGGCCGCGCCGAGACGTAAGCCTTTGCAAGAGGACCATCTCTTAAAAACTTGTTTCATTTTAAGATGCTTACCTTCCACTCATCACCCAGAGAGTCAGCAGCCACTTCAGTTGCCATACGCTTCTCATAAAAGATGCGCAGCTTTCGCTCATCATCAACTTCAATCAGCTTCTGACAGCCAGTAGCGGGGAATGAGATGTTTAGCTGCAGGGCGAACACACAACAGTGACCAAGCAGGTCAGAAGAGTTCTTTTTCAAGGCACTTATCAAGTTGAGGCTTAGTTTAGCAAGAAAGCAGGTGAACATTATCATGATCACGTATGTAAATAAAGTAACAAGTATCGGTACATGGAACAGGGCCGTGTGTAGACACTATCCACACAGAAACTCATACGGGGGCCTGCTAGCTTCTCTAGCGGCTCCACTGCATTTAGCTTCGTAACATTGCCATTCGAACTACTGACATTAACATACATTGATATTTATTGACTTAGTGATTAAGTCTGGCTCTCCATCTCCTCTAACTAAAGTTACAACACTGGTCACTACATGTGGCAAAGACTTGGAGCTGTGCGGCCATGTTTTTCCAGCTCAACTTCCAGTCAAGCTAGTAAGCTAACGCATTACAATCAACGCTCATCCTCAGCGACAATGTCACAAAATTTGTATTAAACAGGTCCGCTTTATAATTAGAAGTCCCAGCTTAAAATAAATGTATGTATTGCATTTAGAATCGCACCACAAAGAAAACTATAAACGGTTAAACTTTGTACCTTCATTTTGCCGAACCGACTCAACAACGGTCCGCCACGGGAAAGAGGCCGGATATCCGCTCCACGATCTCACATAGACACACCAAATCTCGCGATAACTTGGTCGAGAGAATTACAGTTGATATATTTAGTTCAAAACAATCAGCTAATGAAGTAAAGTCATTAATAGCTGTATCAATAGTCGCAATTAAAACAATCAAGGGTGGACATTTGTATAATGAAGAGAAGCGATGATTTGGGACAATTTATGGAGTTAGTACTGATTTAGTCCACCAGAGGGTAGTAGAGACCACAATCCCTCTTCAGTGATTTTTTTCGTGTGAAAAACATATTTTTAATTAGTATGATTATTATTATTTGAAGCTACGTGTTGTAAAACGTAGCTGAAAATTTTAGTGTATAAACTATGCTCAATACACTTGTGTCATTTTCGCAAATTAACCGTTTTTTTTTTCTAGTTGGAATTATTTATACCAAAACCGGAAGTGATTGGTGTGGCGTGAATCCTCTTGCTGCGCTACACCCA